TATTTGATGCAATTCAATACGAATGTATGTGAAATATTTTAATACGCTCCTCAATATATACTTCAGCAGTAACAGGAACGTAATGAGAAAATTAGAAATTTCTTCGTTTTGATGAAAATGAGCAAAGAACGAAGTAAAAAGCTGCATCCCTGAAAACAAAAAAATGTATTTCTAAAAAAAGTCTCTTGCACAAGTACCTGAGTCACATAACTATGAGGAGGGAAATGCGCAAGTACACGAGTGCCATCAATGCCAAACCAATGAAATGAGTTATGCGGAAATTTATTTCTTATGTTCCAACTCATTTTTTGAGTTACAAAATAATCCATCCCACAATGCTTCATTATTTGCGGCAATTGGGCGGAATAACCAAACGTATCAGGTAGCCAGAATATATTCGAATACCTGAAGCCATTAGAATTGAAACACACAGACAAATATATACATAAATAAATACACGCACACATTTTTTGGGTTAAAGTTTTGTGAAATGTTTTCAGCTGCATGTATGTGTTTGCATCGAAGGGTCTATGGGAACCGGAATTTGGAAGCATATGGTACCCTGGAATTTTATATGAACTTCACAGATACAGGAATAACACCAAATTAAATGGAAATAAGCAACGGACGACTTCAATGAAAAGGCACAACGAATAAATGATCGACCAAACCTAACCTCGTATAAAGTGACCCTCGAGGAGAAATACGACTAAGATGAGATGGTGTCGTTCTCTGCAAAGTATTGGCAATTGTTGCCGGAGTTTCGGGATCTCCGCGGTTAGCTAATACGATTTTGGAAAAGTTTTAACCTTGGAAAAGGGAACATTTGGAATCTGGAATATTAGGGTTGGATCGAAACGTCTTATCTCACTCTCACCAACCAACATTCATTACTTTCTCTTGCATTTACGCATCCCACCGTCTGCACTTTCAGGATTGACCTGGAAGCCACTATCTACTTGGAATATGGGAACGGATCCCGATTATCATTTTGTTTTTCTTTCTTCTGCTTTTCTTCCTATTCTTTTTAACTTTTCTTGAATAATATAGTTTAAAATGCATTTTTAAACATTATATTACTCGAGCGAAAAAGCAGGGGAAATGGGGGGAATTTAAGTTCTCTTTTACTGTACACGCACAAACACAATAAATACACACATACGTAGATGCACATAAAAAAATACACACACAGGGGATTTCTTCACAAATCGGTTTTGTTGCACACAAGAATGTATAAAAATTGGTTTTCTTTGCTAGTTAACATGAACCTAAGGTAATCAGATAGCAAATGCGCATGAAAAAATTGCTTGTCAGCTAAGTGAACCGTAGTTTCCAGAGTAAAATTAGCGAAGGAGCCCACAGTGACAATGATATTAATACTGAACTTATTCTTAAGACTCCAGTCTCTAAAACGGGGAAAAAATAAAAACAACAGCTAACAGCTGGGAAAGTTGAAATCCGTCTTGCCGCACAAGAAAAATGAGAAGCAATTCAGGACATAAATTTGTGATATGTCTTTTGACAACAATCAACTTACTTGCCACAGAAATTCATGAATTCACGCTGCCCATATAACAGTTGCCTAATAATGCTTTCGCCGCTTGGCAAATTACCGTCCATTTCAACCCAGGCTCCGCCAACTCCAACAAAACGATTTTCCATTGCATAGTCGCGCATATCGTGGTAAAGATTCGGGTAGTGTTCTTTTACCCAAACTAGCTGCAAAGAACGAACAATGAAGGAATCCATGACTGATTCATCTTCATGCACAAAAAAACATCAAATGTATGTCGCGAAGGCATGCTGAGGCTAGAAACAGAGCGGAAATGCACAGTTTATCTTTCCCCTCGAAAGACGTCAAAAAAGCCAACCATAAAAGAGGCAAAATCTGGCCGAAGCAGCAAAATAACCTACACAGAAGTGCTAAATTACGTTGAAAGCAGTTAGCAAAGGAAAATTTAGCTAATATTGACTTTCTGAGCAGGTGAGAGAGCGCAATAAATAGCAATGTACACCAGACTAGCCGGTGCGATCATGCATTTTGTGCAATTCAACCTATTGCCTGTTAATGATTTTCACTGCTTTGTACTTTTGTCTATACAAAAATAGTTCAAACATTAGAAAATAATTAAAAATTTCACGCACCAGCGCATGAAAGCTGAATTC